GCTGTGCCTTTTCTAGCTAATGTGATCATTCTAGTGCCTAAAAAGATAAGGGCCTTTTGCTTGGAAGCAGCTTTTAATAAAGTTAACACTTGTTATGTGCTTTAGAAAAGCATGCTAAACTAGTGCCTGTCTCATGTCTGTATCCTTTATTGTGCCTGTGGTGAGACAGTAACACACTTGCTAATCTCTTGTCCGTTTATATCTTGTATTTGGGATTGATCTTCCTCTCTCTTTGGTTGCAAGTGGCTGTCTCCTCTTTCTATGGAAGCTGTGTTTGATGCAAATTTCCTTAGACAACTCAAGAAGAGGGGAAGGGTTGTTTGGAGAGCCACTAGAGCAACAATTTTCTGGACGGTTTGGGAATAAAGGAAAATTGTATCTTTCAAAACTCAACAAAATCCAAGGAGGAACTAATTGGAAACTTCACCATCAAGGTAGCACACCAGGTAAAAGCAAGTGAACTGTTCAAGGAGTTCTCAGTACAGGATATAATCAGGGGGTGGAAAATATAATTGCAAATCCACCATCTTTCAAAGCTGTGGTTCTGAGAGTTGGGGGGAGTTTTCAGAGATGAGGAAGTGTACTGGTTCTCTATGTTGGCCCAATAGGTGTGGTAGACTTGCTTAGGGTAGAGATTTTGGCCCTCCTCCAAGGACTGAAATTGGCCAAACAATTGGGTTTCTAACAGATAGAAGTGGAAGGTAGACTCTAAGCTTGTGGGTGGATCAAGGAATTTGGGGATGTGGACTCACAGGCAGATCATGAGGGAGATAAATTGTCTAGCAAGGGAGATTGGTGTCCGCTTCAGATGGATTAGAAGATCAGCTAATGGGATGGTCAACTCTTTAGCTAAATACGGGACAAATAGAGGGGGGGGGATCTCTTTTGGGCTGCATTGTAAATTTGTTTTCAGCTTTCTTTTTGTTGGGTCTCTTGATTGTTTTAAAGTTTTAACTATTAATTGAAAGTTACCGTTTCCAATAAAAAAACTTGAAGAAAAGGACAGAACGAAAAGCCATTAGTTTGTACCTTTGAAGCTCTGTTTGTATTGTTGAGGTGATTTTTATTTGGAGGATATAGGATGTGAGGTCGGTATTTTAGTGATTCCAACATGGTTTCTTCTAATTATGAAAGAATCTGGACTTGGGCGCCGGGGGGGGGTGGGCGCGTGCTACTGATGTGTAATGGTAGGAAGTTGAGAAAGAATCAGAATACATTTGAGAAGCTTTGGAGTGTTATGGTTTGTTATTTCTTGGTCTGGGTAATTCAGTGGAAATATATGTAGCTGAGTGTTTATTTTTTTTTCTTAATTGGGATGCTTTGTTTCTTTTGCAGTTGATGTTAGGTTTTGTTATGTGTTTGAGTTAGGTGGGATGATATTATGTTTGTTTACTATTTGCTGGTCTCATATCATCATTTCTTGTTATTTCTTTTTTAACAAATTTTATTTTACTATCCAAAAAAGATTTTGTTTTCCAATGAGGTACGTAGATCAAATGACCAGCACTAAAACCATATAATGGGGCATCAATCTTCATCATGCAACTTGTAAATATATTAGACTGGAGAGCCAACAAGTTTTTTCGAGTTTTCTGATGATCTAGTATATAATTTCTTTGGGAACTGATGCTCCATTCTTTTAAGATGGGTTCAATCCAGATAAAATCTTTGAACAGCCCTAGATCCTTATTTTCAAGTGCTCTTGAAGTTGTTGAATTTCTGATGAGCTTGTTCATTGGACTGCTACTGATGAGCTTAGTTAACTTTCTGTAGAATCTAGCACTGTTTTTGGTTTTCCTCTTTCCTGAATAGAATATTAGACCACTTGGATGTCCACAAGTTGCTTGTTAAGAGTTTGAAGTGCATTCAAACCAATAGTGGTCTTTTCAACCTCAAGTGATTATCATAAAGTGTACAGGCATCTTGTGAATACCTCCTGGGAATATCATATGGAATGGATTTCTAATCAGGCCACTTGGGCTTTGCTAGACAAATCCAGTTTCCGCCATCAGAGATATGGTTTGGCCAAGCAGTCTATCTATTAGATAGGGGATCTATTGGATCTGTCATTTGCTTGCATCCCCGCTCAATGTTAGCTCCACCTGTGAAAATTTGAGAGAAAAAATGAATTGATTGTATTGTCTTGGAAGGAGCATATACACAACTTTATATAGAATTATAGAGTTAACTTACAGGGTGATAAAATAGGAAACTAACTTTTCCTAAAAAACTAATTTCTATATCAGTGGGATTCTCCAATTAATATCCCATGATTCTAGGAAATTAAGTTTCCTAAACTGATGGACCTAAAATTATGGAGGATCAATCAGAGAGTCAATCTTCTACTTTCCAACACCCCCATTTATTATTATAAACACTTGCAAAGCGATGATAATTTCTGAAAGCTTCAAATTTTGCCATATAGGAGGGGCTGCTTGGTTAAAACTTAATGGATATAGGATGGATAGGAACTAGTGCATACCCCAAAAGGGGTGTAAACCATGTTGCTACATATAAAATTTGTGGGTTATATAGATCTCTTTCTTATTGGTTCATCTAGCAAAATTATGCCCTGTGTATTTAATGGGTGTATGCATGTCAGTTGAACTTTCGAAGGTTGCTTTTTCTATGCACATTTTAGCAGATAAATACTGTGAAATTAAACATTGTGATATCCATGCAGGAGAAACTTAAAAAGTATAAAGCACAAGATTCTGGAGGTCTTAATAGTAACCTGGAGCAGAACCCCTAAAGGCATCTAATGCAGTTAAAACTGATGGATGAGAGCTGGTAATTTGCTGTTTTGATTACCTAAAAGCAAACAGATTAGTTTTCAGAAGCTGACCAATAATGATATTTGTATGCCCTCTGTTGGCCTTTCTTTTTCGTGTGTGAGAGAGCTGCCTCAGTAGGTTTAGATTAAGGGGTAGAAGTGATAACTATTATAATAGCCACCAAAGGAAGGCCAATGAAGATGATTTACTATTAGAAGAGTCTAGATGTAGACAGGAAGTGGTTCATATTTAGATTCTTTTTTCTTCTTTGGCTGGCTAGGAAAATTCTAATAGATTGTTGATGTATTTATTAGCCAGGACTTTTAAACTATAACTACAGTTACACCATGCATTCAATTATCATGCATGTATTTTCTAGATGGGCAAGGTAAAGGTGTTTGGATAGTTCTTCATTGTCACTTTTGACTTGTACGGGTAATCCTTACTGATTCAAGTTGTACAGTTGAGAATATTACATGCAAGATTTCTTTTACATAAACTAGCTAGGTATTATTAAGCTACACGGCAATTGATCAAGCTATCGAGGTGCTTGTTGACTATAAATAATTCTCCATTCAGAGTACCTTTGGAGAAAGTCACAGAAGTCTGCAAGAATGGTCCATGGCCAAATGTCTCCTCAATTTGTTCTCAGCCACGACTCCTGATGTGCTTTTTTGTGACTTCAGAATCAACTATGGATGCACCTCCATTGGAAATCCTTGTCATTTGCATTCTTACAAGATGCTAATGATCATATTGTTCCAGTTTTGGCCTACTGCTTTTTTTTTGAGCAGATTGGCTCTCTCTATGGAATATTCCATTACTGAAAAAAAGATGCTAACGGTTTTCATTTCTAGGGTTCCACTTGTATCTAAGTTGATTCAGCTTGATTTGCACTTGAACTACTCGTGCAGGAATTGGTTCCAATCAAATCGTCCAAAACACTTACGACTTAACCCATGATTCTATAATTTGTCCGCTTGCCATCCAGTATTTTTTGACAGACATGGTCCATTATAGGTGCGCCCCTCTTTCAAATGGCAAAGACTGCAGAAGGTATTGTTTCCCTGATAGCATGTAAATTCTTTATTGGCAAATTATTACTTTTTCTACTTTTACTTGACATTCCCAATAGAAAACATTAATTCTGATTGAATAATAAAGAAAAACGATGGAACTACTTTTGAATCATAATTTCCATCATCATCCAAGCCTTATCCCAACTATATGTGGTTGGCTCCATGAATCCTATTTTGCCTTTCTGTTGAAAATACAAATCAGGGCCCTTGTCATGAGAATTTGGCAAGTTTTAGTGCCAATTGCCAGCCTGGTGCAATCCTCTTTTATCTGGGCTTGGGACCAGCCGTGCAAGGCAAGTTTACACTCGTGGAGTGAGAGATATTTCTTAAATTTCTAGTTGATGCCTTGCTTCCCAACAGATGTAGAGAGCCCTCCAATGGTTAAAGTAAAATAACCAGTTACTATCAACTGAGATTGGTATTTACATCATTAATCCAGCTAGTTTTAATGTGGGCAACAAAAGGTCTTAAAACATGTCGTTAAACCATTCATCTCTTGACTGATCTTCCATGGGTGTGGCGTGGGGTACAACTGTACAAGAGTGGTGGCCCTCAATATTCTTTTGACCGAAAAAGACAGACAGGAGACTGAATGGGTTGACATCTCACTCATGCTCAAGAACGTTTTCAACAGCTAAAGTTCTTTTTTTTCAATCTTTTTTGTAATCTTTATTTTGACACCTCTCTTGAGCTTTCTGCTCACCTGACCTGGATAACTGTAGCACCGATTCAAACGAATCCTCTTTCACATACCAACCAAATTTCCCTTGTCGGCATTTGCGGTGGAGAGAGAGAGAGAGCTGAAGCCTTCAGAAGCTCTGGTTTATTTTTTTAGTTGAATGGTTGCATGACATTCAGTTCATTTCAGGGACAAGCTCGTGAAAAATAACCTATGCCTTCCAGTTTTAGTAAGTTTATTTTGGTATTGCAGTAGATGAAGCCATGAATTCTTCTTTTGTTTTTGCAAGTTGAAATTTGGAGGAAGCCACACTGGTATAAAACTCATCATGTTTCTCGCTTCTAAAGGGTCTCCAGAATTTGGCCTGATAATCAAAGTTTGCAGAGAAAACAAATGGTCCAGGTTGGACCGTCATTTGTTATGCCACATGTATGTAAGATTACCAGGTCACCAAGATCTCTCCGAACAGCTGGATATTTTCTAGGTAAATCAATCAAATATTATGCTTTACTCCTTTTGATCAACCTGTGCTGTTCGTTAGATGGGAAACTTTGAGATTGGCCACATGTATGATTTGCCATACCATATCAGCTTTATGGCCCACAATGTAGGGGGCCTTTCCATCATAACATCATTTGCTAGAAGTTGAGTGACATGGTCAGCATCCGGAACCCTTTCTGTTCACCTAACAGATTTGTTTGGTAATTGAGTCAGTTATCAAATTTCTTCCTATATATGGTCTTCATAATGATCATAACAATCTATAGCAATAGTAAAATATTTGTAGTCCCTTGCTAGCACTGGAAGCTTATTTCTGGGGAAGCTTGTCCGAGGCCTAAAATTAGCAGCAAGGGACTAGAACTAGATTAGGTGCTAGTTGAGGCCTTGAGGATGATTCTTTTAAGGCTTAAAATAACTCCAACAGATCCACCAAGATCTTATTATTCTTATTTTTTGAATTGCTTTGAGTTGCTAATGGGAAGTGGGGAATGTAACCTTGACACTGTAGTTCATTTCCTTTATTTTTCTTTTCTCATGTCTTGAATCACATCTCGGTGGTCAATGGAATGGATTTGCTAGGATGCATGAAATTGGGTTCCTTTACCTGTTAAATGGGCCTAGTCTGACTTTAGAGTCTCAACTTGTCATTGGAAAGAAAATCAATGCATGGTTGATCTGGTTTTGAGGTGAAGATTGAATCTTCATATCTTTACTAATAGACAAATGATATCTGGGTTGAATATGTGAGGACAACAATTTAAGGGGCTCTAGAAATCTTCCTGGAGGCAAAAAAGAGAGTCTAGGATGCTAAGGATAACTCTGTTTTAATTTATAGATCTTTTTCTAGACTTTGCTAGCTCTAGAATGGACTGGCCTCGATTACATCCTATAAATGTAGGCATTCAAAGTTTATTTCATCTTTCAACTTTGACTTTCTTTTACCTAATTACCCTCCCTCCCCTCTCTCGACATGGGAGACCTTTGGGTGGCCATAATATTTTTTACTCACATAACCCAATCAAGTTTATTACTCTGTTAAACCCATCTTAACTACACAGTTCCAAGTCTAGGGGCTTTCATATTCAGCTTTTGTTCCTGATTGCCCATTGAAATTGTTCTAGAAAAAGGTTCTGATGTTTATGGAAATGGACAACTGGGTTGTGAATGGATTCTGTCTGATGCCCAACTGGCATTCAATTTGACTATTTCGTTTTTGAATTTTATAGCTTGTATCTATTTAACAACCTGACAGGATGTGCAGATTTGATCACATCCAAACTAATTAAGATTTGAGTTTGATTGAATTATATAATATAATATCATGATTATAATATAATATATGGGATTCATAAAAGGGATTATAGTTGATAAGGGCAACTTTTGGGTCTCATTATCAATGAAAATAATCTTTTTTAATATAATTTCTAGAATAGAGTAACTTTTTTTTTTTTTTAAATATAAAAAAAGGGTAGAAACATTGTTCATCTCCTTCCTTCTTCGAACAAATCTCCCCACCTCCGGTCTCTATCTTTCTCTTTCCTCCTTTCGATGGCCATGAAAGAGCTTCATCGTTGCTTCCTGAACCCTTGGCCCTCCTTTCGGATCCACCTCCATGCCCAAGATTGTTGGAACCCTCTGCTTTAGATCATTGAAAGAATTGTTGGCCATGAATTCGGAATAGCAATGAGTGATTGCTGGTTACTTGGTGGAGCTTCTGTTACGAGCCAAAACACCGTTAGAACTGAGATTGGCGATAGGTGCAGTTCCACGAGTCTCGACAACCTCTATGTAGAAGAGGCTGGGGAGAAAGCGTGGTGTTTTTAGGAGTTCAAAGTTCAAATTGTAAAAAGAGAGAAAAAGCTTTGGAGGTTAGGAGGTTCTATAAAAGAAGTACACACACACACACACACACACACAGAGATTTGGTAGCTTCCATGCCTGTTGTTGCATGAAGTCATGAAGACCGACAGAAAGAAAAAAAGAAAAAAATAATTCAAATAGAAGAAAGAAGAAGAAGAAGAAGAAGAAGAAGAAGAAGAAGACGAAAGAAGAGGAAGGAGGAGGAAAGAGAAAGATAGAGACCGGAGGTAGGGAGATTTGTTCAGTGGTCTGAAGGAGGAAGGAGATGAACAATGTTTATACCCTTTTTTGATATTTTTTTTTTAAAAGTTACCCTATTCTAAAAATTATGTTAAAAGATTATTTTTATTGATAATAAGACCCAAAAGTTGCCCTTATCAGTCATAATCCCTTTCGTAAAACATACCCCATATAGTTGGGACAAGACTTGGGGCTTGTTTGTCTGTATTGATTTGTGACCTTTGGAAAGCAATTCACCTCTGAAAAGAGGAAAAGTTGTAATAATTTGCCTTTTCTGACATCTAAATGTAGAGAATATTGTTTTCTCAGTTAACAATTTTACCCCAACAATATAATGACATGTAATGATTACTTTGAAAAGATGAAATGATTGGAAAAGAATAGAAAATGAATTAATTCGTAGAAGAATTGAAGAAAAGGTGAAATTGATTAAACAAAATTACCAAAATGTCCAAATCAGCGATAACTAGTCAATAATAATATATAGTTAATAAATAATTTTAATTAATTAATAATTTAAAAATGCTAGTAATATTAAGTACTTAATTTTTAAATAATTAATTAATATTAAATAGTTATTTAAATAATATTATATAATTTATAATAGTATCAAATAATAATAAATAATATTAATTATAAAATAATAATTAAATATCTAAATATCATTAATTAAATAATAGTAATTACATAATCACATAAGGTTAATTAAATAACTATTTAAATAATTGTTGCTTAATATTAATTAAAAATGTTAAATAATTAAATAAATATGAATCAATATTATTAATTAAGTAATTATTAGTGAGTATTATTTAAATAAATAATATTATTTCGATAATTATTTAATTAATTTTATAATAATATTTATTTAAATATTTGATTATACAATTATTTTATACTGGGTCTTCTCGTAATAAAATACATTTGAAAAATGTAGGAAGGAATTAATTTTGGTGCTTAATAAGTGGTCGAATGGGATAATTTGTTAATAAAATACATATTTTCAACTAATGTACATCAAATGACCATTGATGGATGTCAGCTCGTATGGTTTGAAAGTGAAGGTAAAAGAATATTTTACAGTGCCATTTTTGGTAATTTGTTTGTACTATGGGCATAATGTCATGGTATATTCCATTATTTTCACTACCAAACAAAGGATAGTATGATAGTTTTATATATCTGATTTGGAGGTCAAAATTAGAGGCTCTTAAAGGAATTATAGCGCAATCTACCGAATGGACTAAATAGCGGTTGCTTTTTTACTTTTAAGAGGTTAGATTTCTTTAGCGCAAACAAACAACACCTTAGCTGATGTTTGGTAAAAATAATATTTGAAATGACATTTATTCCTATAAATTTATGAGTTTTTTATTTTAGATAAGGAGAAAAAAGAAAATAAAGGGGGTAGGGAAGAAAATGGTCTCCTACTAGTACTAGCTCCACCATATAAAGAGAAACAAGATAGAAATGATAGTGTGTGATAGAGATAAGGTTATAGGTAAGAGTAAAAGTCACGGGCATTTCTGTCATAGAGTGAGGTTATTTTTCAAACAAAAACTTCTAAAACACCACCTCTTGGCTCAGTAAGGGGCGGATCCGAGCCACTATTTTAGATTTAAGTTTTAAATAGTCAGATCGAATTCGGGTGTGGCTGAGTCCAAATAGAACCGAACCTAACCTGACTATAGTCCGATAAATAGCTAATTGCAATTTTCTAATGGGCCTTAAAGCCAGTCCATGATGTTCTATGTAAACCCTAAGCCCGATTCAATATAGACAAGACAGCCATATTTTAGGTTTTGAATTGATTAGGATATATACTTTGTCAGTCATTTCAGATAGAA